ATATCCAGCAGTCACTTTGATCTACAAAAAGCTTCTATATATTATATATATATATATATATATATATATATATATATATATATATATATATATATATATATATGTATACACACAAAATCTTATTTTGTTTTTTTTTATTTTTGAGACTTTTGAAAAAGTCTTTTGCGGATCTCTGAGAGCTTAAGGCCATATATAAGTGGGTTAACAATAGGTGGAATAACAAGAATCTGAACTTGGAAAGCATTCCGCAGATGCTCTGGAAAGTCTTCTGATCCATAGCGACTGAAAATTATATCAAAAAGTACAGCTATAGTAAAGTTCATCAGAGACACTAAATGTGGCCCACAGGTGTGCATGAACTTTCTTTTGTTATCACTAGAATTTCTACAAGCAACAATTAATCTTTGATATGAAAACATGACAATAAAAGCATGAGCCATAACTATTAACAGAAGCGTAAAGCTTAAAGCATTGATGGTTGTAGTCGGGATACAAGATTGCTTGACAATAGACCAGTTATCACAATAAAGTCTGTCTATACTTGATCCACATAATGGCAGTTGGACAGTGAGTATAAGGTTTGGGAGTAATAACAAAAAAGGAAAAACCCATGAGTACAGAATAGCCTTTGCCACTGTCTGGGTTCTTAAAATGTTGTGATATTCTAATGGCCTGCATATTGCTACATATCTATCATAAACCATTGTAACTAAAATTGTGAACTCGCATGTAAAAGATGTGTAAATCACAAATGCTTGCATAAAACACCCAACATATGATATCACAGGTGAAGGTGATAACAGATCAAATATAAATTTAGGATAAAATCCTGTTGTTCCATAGAGTCCATTAAAGCAGAGATTACACACAAAGAGATACATAGGCTCATGCAGAGACTTCTCTAAGAGGATTGTTACAATCAACATCAGGTTCAAAAGAATGATTAAGAGGTAAACAGAGAGAGACAGGAAAATAAAAAGATATCTTGGTGTCAAATGCTTCATTCCAGACAAAACAAATACTGGAGTAAGTGATGTGTTGTCTTCCATGTAAAGAAAAAGTTAAGGTTCACAAAAGCATAAAATGAAAATTAAACAAAAAATTACAAACTATTTCTTCTGTCCATTATCAGAATAGATAAAACATTTTAAAGTGTTTTCAAAATTGTACATGAACTTTAGACATGAGAGGAGAATTTTGGGAAATTCCATAAAAACATACAAGTTAACTGATTTCATGTTTGCTAAATATCAGCCACATTGTGAAATGCATAACAAAACAATTCCAGACTGGGCAGTAAGTAGTAAAGGTGTCACTATGCCAGTACATGTTCTGATCCTACTTACCACCTTGGCTTTTGTATGCTCTCTGTCTCTTCAGCTCCCAAGGTTACATCACTCATAGGCGTACATTTATGTAAGAATAGGAGGGAGGTCTCAAACACCTTTCTAAAATATCTGTATCAAACTTCAAGTCCCTTATGCACAAAATGGAAATAAAATGCAGTGTATTATTTAAACCCTATTTTTAATTGAAAGTAGTACAAAGACAACATATCAAATGTTGAAACAGAGAAAGTGTGTTTTTTTTGGAAAAATTTGTGCCCATTTTGAATTTGACTAGACTGGTCATATGGCAAATGGAAAAAGTGCAAAACATCAGTATTCTGGTGATTGTGAATGGTGATTGGAGGATTGAGGAAGTTCAACAGTCACATGACAGTACCCCACCCAACCCCCAACCCATCCCACCCCCAAATAGTCTGGGACGGCCATGGACCGAGGCCACCGCAATGACCACCTCCCACGTGACCAGTGGCCTGGCAGGGAGCATTGCTGAATCGATGATGTACTTCAATGACGATGGCCAGGGAGCGAACTGGGAGAAGCCCTCCTTGGGCGTGCTCTGGGCGCTGGCTGTGAAAGCCTGTGATCAATCCAGGGTTAAGGATATCCCCTGCAGGCACCCAGCACTGCTCCTCAGGGCCATATCCTCACCTGTTCACCAGGTACTGTTGCTGACTTCCCTGTGTTCTGAAGTCCAGCAACTGATGTACAGTGTGGACCTGGGGCACGTCAGTGGGCGAAGCCTCATCCAATGGACCTGGGACAACAGCTTTGAGCAGGGAAACATGAAATGAACAAGAAACATGATAACGAGGAAGCAAGTCAAGCTTATAAGTATGGTGTCAAATCGAATTCAAAATTTGCAAGCGAGGAATTAGCTGAGGCTCTGCTTATATTTACTTCATTCTGTCTTTGTTGTTTAGTAATCATGATTAATCACTCTCAGCCAGTCTGAAACCAAGGCTATGTTCTCTTTACCGGGTTGAAGTGGCACAAATCAGATTTTTTGCCCTAATGTGACCCAGATCTGATGTTTTTAGGGCTGTGTGGACACACAATTCTGATCTTTTTGACCTGAGCCACTTTCATATGTGGTCCTACAGCGATGCATGTCCAATTCATGGCCATGTGACCTTAATGTTAGGGCGGTACAGTGGCGCTTTCACCTCACAGTAAGAAGGGCCTGGGTTTGATTCCCAGCCGGGTGACCAGGGTCCTTTCTGTGTAGAGTTTGCATGTTCTCCCCATGTCTGCATGGGTTTCCTCTGGGTACTCCGGTTTCCTCCCAAAGTCCAAAGACATGCAGTCAGGCTAATTGGACACACTAAATTGCCCCTAGGTGTGAGTGTGTGGATGTGGATGTGTGTCTGTCTGTCTGCCCTGCGATGGACTGGCGACCTGTTCAGGGTGCATCTTACCTTCCGCCCAATGACCACTGGGATAGGCTCCAGCACCCCCCATGACCCAGAAGGGTAAGCGTTTAGGAAAATGTGTGTGTGTGTGTGTATGTGTGTGTGTTTAGAGTTAGAAATTAGACTAGATTTTCTATTGAGCTCGAGGGAAACATGGTAGTTGCTTAAACAGAGCTGTCGACAGGGCTAAAATTGGCTTCTTATTTGCAGGTTTTTATGCATATTTTCCGGTCCACCTTAAATACTGTTTTTACAGAGAATATTTTGCCAGTAGTTGGTAGTGATGAGTCAGTTTTATATGTAATATAATGTGTGTAATAATTGTAGAACAGTGTCAAGAAGGCTTCTTACACCACTTCCACTAAAATATTATCTTCTATTTCATAGATCACATTTTTAAATGCTCATTAAAAAAAAAAATAAAAAATTTAATAATCATAATCATTGCATCAATTATAAGAATAATAATTATTATAAGAATAATGTAATATAATATTAGAATAATGTAATAAAATATTTCAGACTGACCGAGGGTGATTAATCATGATTACTAAACATTCACAAAGACAGAATGAAGTAATTACAGGCAGCATTTCAGCTAACACCATTCTTCTGGCAGACTCTGAAGGACGTCTACTTGAGTGAAAGTCCTGTTCCAATTTAAAGTATAATTACAATCTGTATACATATATTCTATGTATTCAGAAACTATTCCAGAAAATACAGAAAGAGATAATACAAGACCTATAGCACTTTGCAGAATTTAGACACTCTTTTGAAATAATAGTAACTATATAGTTTCACAGGACTCCACTGTAATTGATGCCTTATTCTCAGTAATATCTCTGGTGACATTAAATTTTAGGACATATTCAGGGGAAAAGGTTGCAGGGAATTAATGCCAAGTAAACTACAATAAACAATTTAACTTCTATTAATCATAAATTGAGCATAAAAGCACAGAAAAAGCCAATGCAAGACATACAGACAGAGATTGCAACATGTTTACTATGAAATGTATAACAAGAGATTTTCAGATACAATTTTCCAGTGTTTTCATGAGGTCATACTGCATGACATCCATAAATGGCAACAACTACAGAGCTGTACTTAAAGGTGTAATTATTTCAAATGTGACAAAGTCCCTCAAAATCAGTGTAGCTGATTAGTCAGATGAGGTATGTTGGACGCAGGCAAACCAAATGTGCAGGTCAAGGGTAATCTAAGACCAGGACAGGGAAACACTAGATTTTCAAGACTGCTTAGCATGCTGCTGTACTATATTACATCCTTTCACTGGATTGTTTTTATTTTAAAACTCTAAAAATGATCTCTTTTTCACACCAGAATGCACCACAGAAATTGACTAAAGCCTTTTTTTTGTTGGTATTTTATGATGGAAATATATATGCAATTTTTTTCTCAGCAATGCAAAACAAGAACAGCCCTAATGGTGAATTCTAGTCCCTCATGAAATTTTTACTGTTTTAAAAAGCCAAAATTTGCCAATGCATAAAAGACTTGAAAAAGTGGGTACATAATTGATAGAGGTAGTAGGTATGTATTATGTTTGTCATGCAATGTATTTTTGCTTTATAAGGCAAAAGCTCAGCAGGGAAAGTCTGTACCCCCTCCCTCCACTCATCAGTTCATGACAAGACTGTATGGGTGTGGGTTGTGCAAAAGCAGAGAAATGTTACATTTTTCAATTTCAGGTCATGGAATCAACTCTAAGGAGTGCATACTCTGTGTTAGTTTTTGCTGCTACATATTTATTTTCAGCACCAATGAGAGAAATTAAGACTAGATATGGTGATGACATAATTCTTGAAGCAAATCAAACAACAAACTAGCTGTGTGCAGACTGACCAAATATAACATAGCAAACTTTTTTAAATATTACACAATAGACTGGAATGAATAGTAATTTAGAATATTTTTGACTTGTATTATTATTATGTTATTATGATTGACTAGTAGATCTACATTTACATGATTGGAGCTGCCTCCTGCTCTTATTGACTAATTATGTTGTATGTTTATATACCTTCATGAAGTTTTTAAAATGATACAATACAGGTTTTAAATTGGTCCTGTTATGTGGCCATTAAACATATAATATCAAGGAACTGCTCAGTTGACAGCAGCACATGGAAAACTGAAAAAAGGACTTGACAGCTATTAAAACAGAAGAAAACAGTTGGTAAATATACAGAATAATATCCACACTATTATCCAGCAGTCACTTTGATCTACAAAAAGCTAATCTTGTTTTGTGTTTTTTTTGTTTTTGACACTTTTGAAAAAGTTTTTTGCGGATCTCTGAGAGCTTAAGGCCATATATAAGAGGGTTTACAATAGGTGGAATTACAAGAATCTGAACTTGGAAAGCGTTCCGCAGATGCTCTGGAAAGTCTTCTGATCCATAGCGACTGAAAATTATATCAAAAAGCAAAGCAATAGAGAAGTTCATTAAAGACACTAAATGTGGTCCACAGGTGTGCATAAACTTTCTTTTGTTATCGCTAGAATTTCTACAAGCAACAATTAACCTTTGATATGAAAACATGACAATAAAGGCATGTGCCATAAATATTAAGAGAAGTGTAAAGCTTAATGCATTGATGGTTGTAGTCGGGATACAAGATTGTTTGACAATAGACCAGTTATCACAATAAAGTCTGTCTATACTTGATCCACATAATGGCAGTTGGACAGTGAGTATAAGGTTTGGGAGCAATAACAAAAAAGGAAAAGCCCATGAGTACAGAATAGCCTTTGCCACTGTCTGGGTTCTTAAAATGTTGTGATATTCTAATGGCCTGCATATTGCTACATATCTATCATAAGCCATTGTAACTAAAATTGTGAACTCACATGTAAAAGATGAGTAAATCACAAATGATTGTGTAAAACACCCAACATATGATATCACAGGTGAAGGTGATAACAGATCATATATAAATTTAGGATAAAATCCTGTTGTTCCATAGAGTCCATTAAAGCAGAGATTACATACAAAGAGATACATAGGCTCATGCAGAGACTTCTCTAAGAGGATTGTTACAATCAACATCAGGTTCAAAAGAATGATTAAGAGATAAACAGAGAGAGACAGGAAAATAAAAAGATATTTTGGTGTCAAATGCTTCATTCCAGACAAAACAAAAACTGGAGTAAGCGATGTGTTGTCTTCCATGTTAAGAAAAAGTGAAGGTTCAGAAAAGCATAAAATGAAAACTAAAACAAAAAACTACAAATTATTTCTTCGGTCCATTATCAGAATAGATAAAAAAATTTAAAGTGTTTTCAAAATTGTACATGAACTTTAGAACTGAGAGGAAAATTTTGAGAGACTCCATAAAAACATACAAGTTAACTGATTTCATGTTTGCTAAATATCAGCCACATTGTGAAAAGCATAACAAAATTCCAGACTGGGCAGTAAGTAGTAAAAGTGTCACCATGCCTGTAAATTTTCTAATCCTATTTACCACCTTGGCTTTTATATGCTCTCTGTCTCTTCAGCTTACTCCCAAGGTTATATCATTCAGAGGCGTAGATTTCTGTAAGAATAGGACGGATGTCTCAAACTACTTTCTGAAATGTATGTACTAACATTTAGGCCTGTAATTGAGGCTAAACAGAGATGATTGTTTTGGTTCAGTCCCTTATGACCTAAATGTAAATAAAAAAAATGCAATGACATGCAAATTATTTAAACCCTATATTTAATTGAAAATAGTACAAAGACAACATATCAAATGTTGAAACAGAAAAATTGTGTTGTTTTTGGAAAAATGTATGCCCATTTTGAATTTGATGTCAGCAACATGATTCAAAAATGTTGGGACAGGGGCATGTTTGCCACTGTGATGCATCACATTTACTTTTAACACTGTAACGTCACAGAACCACCCAGATGCTCGCGGTATAAATTAAGAAAAAACAACAACAAATGAGGCTTTACTTGTAAATGGTTTGACAAGAATCGTAGTCGGTGAACAGTCATATGTCAAATCCAAAAGAGCAAAAAGACAAAAAAGGACAAACAAAGGCAACCAGATCCAAAAGGGCAAAGACAAAAAGGCAAAGCCAGAAAATCCAGAAACAGAGTCAAATACTCAAAAATGGCAAACAATGGCAAACAGGAAACGCTCAGTAGCTTTACTATGAGAAGCAATACCTCGCAACTAACCTAATCTAAAGCCTGGGCTTTTAGCTAAACTATACTGGTCATATGACATATATAACAGGTGCAAAACACCAGATTTATGGTGATTGTAAACGGTGATTGGAGGATTGAGGAAGTTCAACAGTTACATGATCTCCCACAGGATTCCATGTGTAAGTCAGAGCCAGAGGAATGTGTGACAAACACTCTGTAAATGTTTGGGAACTGAGGAGACCAATTGCTGTAATTTTGAAAGTGAAATGTTTTTTCATTCTTGCTTAATATAGGATTTTAGCTAATTTAGGGGCGGCGGACCACCAGTAGGCCGTGAAGCACCCTCTACTGGTCTGTGGGCCTGTACTCAAGGGGAGGCAGTAGTTCGTAGTGGGCTGGTAGAGATGTAAAAATAAAAACATTGCAGTCACAGGCTGTCATTGCTCTCATATCGAGCTGCAGCTGATAAAAAACACAGACAAGCCTTAAAATAGTAGCGAAGAGTTGTGCTTTATTTCTGGCCGAGCATCAGCGACCTGAGTCGTTAAACTCAAAATGTTAAACTAATGACAAAGAAGCAGATATCAAGTAACGTATATTATTATTGTTGATGTGGTGACGCTAATCCGAAAGACCCTTGAGTGGTGTGTGGTTTATTTAAAATGAGGCCATAAAAACCCTCAAAACTAAAGAGACATCTCCAGACCAAACAGTTAGTCCTGTGGGAAAGCCACGAGAGTATTTTCAGTGAAAACGTGATGGATTGCAGATCCAAATCATAGTCCACATCTACATCTACCTTTTTTTCTTTTTCCCCCTTTTTGACATATCTGCAAACATAACTGCAAATTTTGGTTTCTGTGATTGAAGTGAAATGGAAGACCTTTGGTTAGGCCATAATTCAGAGATTTTCAGCAACTGAGCAATTTAGAAAAAAGAAAATTATTTAAAAAACATTTTAGTTTTAGTTTTTCTGTGGGCCACTATGCTTTATAGTTATAAACAAGTGGGCCTTGGGGTGGAAAAGGTTGAGAACCCCTGGTCTAGATGGCAGCATATGTTGCTCCAATACCTGTATATATTGTTCAGCATTAATGGTGCCTTCACAGATGTGTAAGTCACCTGCACTAATGCACCCCCATACCATCACAGATGCTGACTTTTTAACAAGCTGGATGGTTCCTCTTCTCTTTAGTCTGGAGGACACAGTGTTCATGTTTTCCAAAAAGAATTTCAAATTTTTATTTTTTGGATCACAGGACACTTTGCCACTCCGCCTCAGTCCATTTTAAATGAGCTCAGGCCCAGAGAATTTTCAGCGTTTCTGCATCCTGTTTATATATGGTTTCTTCTTTGCATAGTAGAGTTTTAACTTGCGTTTTTGGATGCAGTGACAAACTGTATTCACAGTGGTTTTTACAAGTGTTCCTGAGCCCCTGCAATGATTTCCACTGCAGAATCATGTCTGTTTTTAATGCAGTGCCGCCCGAGGGCCCAAAGATCACATCCATCCATTATTGGTTTTCAGCCTTTAATCATATTATGTACTCTAGACCCAAGTTCTTTGCTATTTTACACTGAGGAACATTACTCCTGAATTGTTGCACTGTTATCCCATGCAGTCTTTCACAGGGTGGTGAACCCCTCCTCATCTTTACTTCTGAAAGGCTCAGCCTCTCTGAGATGCTCTTTTTATACCCATTCATGTTACTGACCTGGTGCCAATAAACCTATTTAGTTGTGAGACTTTCCACCAGGTTTTTTCTAAGCATTACACAACTTTACCAGTCTTTTGTTGCTCCTGTCCCAAATTTTTTTAAGTATGTTGCTGGCATCAAATTCGAAATTGGTGTAGAAATTTTTCGGTTTTAACATTTGGCATGTTGTCTTTGTACTATTTTTAATTACATATAAGGGTTAAATTACTTGCACATCATTGCATTCTGTTCTTATTTATATTTTGCACAGCATCACAACTTTTTTTGGAAATGGGGTTATGTATAGACAAAAGGACACACTGTGCAGCCATCTCGACTGATTTATTAAAAGCTTTCAATGTAAATGTGAATTTCTACCATGACCAATGGTGTCCCGCAAGGTTCAGTTTGACGTCCAGTTTTATTTTTTAATTTATAGTAGCCATAATTTATTTGTAGAGGCAGACAAATATGTTTATGCTGTTTTCTAAAGCCACTTTTATTGATTACAGTGATATGATTTTTTTGCCTGTTCTTGTTTACAGTGATGACAGTGCTGTATAGAAATGCTTTTGACTGCACTTTTAAGGCACCAAATTCTTTGTACCACTCTACACTGCAATCCATCACAAATGCATCACTGAAGACTTATACAGTACTCACCATAGTGTACTAAATGAGTTAGATGGTCCTTTCTATCTGTGCAAAGGGAAACACAGTGGCTGCTTCTTATTTATATTGCTTTCATCAGCCAGCTGGCACTATAAATCACACCCATACCCCCTGTGAATAATAGATTCTACAAACCCCATGCAAGAATTTACACTTCAGACCCCCCTGAACTTTTACTAAGCCAGATAAATCTGCACTTAGCTATTGTACACCAGTGACCCAAATAGCATGTGGATGCAGGGCCACTTCTAGCAAATATATGGTACTGCAAGCCAAAAATGGCTCTCATTAAAAATGCTTATTTGCTCTACGTATCTCAAAACAAATTTGGGCCACTTCTGGCAGAGATACAAGCAGTGCTGTCTAGTATTAATAGTGGCAAACTGGATGTGAGCCAAAAATGACCCACACATTTAATATGCTCATATGGCCTACCAGTCCCAAAACAGATCTGGAAATGGCAATGTAAACTACAATAAATAATTGAACTTATATTAATCATAAATTAAGTATAAAAGCACAGAAAAAGCCAATGCAAGACATGTAGACAGAGATTGCACCATGTTTACTATGAAATGTATAACGGCAGATTTTCAGATACAATTTTGTAGTGTTTTCATGAGGTCATACTACATGACATCCACAAATGGCAACAACTGCACGGCTGTACTTAAAGGTGAAATTATTCCAAATGTGACAAAGTCCCTCTAAACTAATGTAGCTGATTAGTCAGATGAGGTATGTTGGACACAGGCAAACCAAATTTGCAGGTCAAGGGTACTCTAGGACCAGGTCAGGGAAACACTAGACATTTTCAAGACTGCTTAGCATGCTGCTGTACTATATTACATCCTTTCACTGGATTTTTTTTTTTATTTTAAAACTCTGAAAATTATCTCTTTTGTCATTGTCATTCCAGAAAGCACCAAAGAAATTGACTAAAACCTTTATTTTTTGTTGGTATTTTATGATGGAAATATATATGCATTCTCAGTAATGCAAAACAAGAACAGCCCTAATGGTGAATTCTAGTCCCTCATGAAATTTTGACTGTTTTAAAAAGCCAAAAATGGCCAATGCATAAAAGACTTGAAAAAGTGGGTACATAATTGATAGAGGTAGTAGGTATGTATTATGTTTGTCATGCAATGTATTTTTGCTTTATAAGGCATAGCTCAGCAGGGAAAGTCTGTACCCCCTCCCTCCACTCATCAGTTCATGACAAGACTGTATGGGTGTGGGTTGTGCTAAAGCAGAGAAATGTTACATTTTTCAATTGTGGGTCATGAAATCAACTCTAAGGAGTGCATACTCTGTGTTAGTTTTTGCTGCTACATATTTATTTTCAGCACCAATGAGAGAAATTAAGACTAGATATGGTGATGACATAATTCTTGAAGCAAATCAAACAACAAACTAGCTGTGTGCAGACTGACCAAATATAACATAGCAAACTTTTTTAATATTACACAATAGACTGCATGAGAAGTAATTTAGAATATTTTTGACTTGTATTCTTATTATGTTATTATGATTAACTATTAGATCTGCATTTACATGGTTGGAGTTGCCTCCAGCTCTCAGTGACTAATTTAATCTTATGTTTATATAATAAAATTAAAAATTCTAATAAAAAATTAAATTGGTTCTATAATGTGGCCA